CCCCCCCCCCCCCCCCCCGAGGAACAAAAATGTTAAGTAAGTTCTGCATTCATCTTTTGTATTAGACGTCGGGTTTGTCTTGTTTTCCACCATTTTTTTTCAGCCTAAGGTTCGAAATGTTGTAATTTTCACTCGTGTTTCAGATGTCTGGCATCAAGCCATTGTCGGGTTTGAGTCTTGCAGCGGCTTCAATGGTTCTTCAACCAGGTTCGATTACGGGTGTTAGCCAAACCCTAGTTTCCGATTCACGGGTTTCTGAGGGGGTTTTGAACAATTCCATCGGCTATCCTTAGAACTAATTAAGAAATGTTCCGGTCTGGGATTCGCATCAGTATACCCGCCGGACTCAAAACAGAGGAACACTGCAACAGTTCAGATGAACTTAGGGTTCCAAAGGTCTTGACAAAGGCAGCCTAATCAAGATTTTCTATTCTGTAATTGATCAATGTTGAAAGAAAGTATCGTCCTTGTTTAATGAAACCCCGCTAAATGATTTGTAATTTGTTCTTGAAAACGCTATTGAAGAGGTTGCATATGAGCGTTAGGGGCCGCCAACTTTCTCAAATACGCAATTTGATTTATATATTGGTAGACTGCAGATATCAATTAAAAAAACTGGAAAACATCAATCAAAGTATGAAGTGTTGGAGTATTCATTTTGTTTATATCATATTTCAACCATTTTGATTTGATTTTTTTTAATCATTTCAGATATTATTTTTAAAAAATAGTTTGGTTTTAGAAGAAAAAATCAATTATCCAAATGATTCCAAAACATTATTTTTTTTAAAAAAAAGAGGAGTTAATTACAAATTAATGATCATGGTTTATAAACCCTACAACTTTAATCAAGAGTTAATTAGCGTGTTACATTGTTTGTCCATGTCCAAGCTCACCGGATCTGCGTCCTGCCTAACGACCAGAGACCCGTGTCCTTCACTGTTGTCTGAAAATTAAAATTAAAAATAAATAAATTGCGAAGAAACAGATTTGTGCCCATCTAAATCTACTGATCATAAAGATCTGGAAACTTATGGTCTGAAAGATTTTATCAGAATTCAAACCTGCGTCTTCACAGACGGGAACACGTTCCAGAAGCGCAGGGTCTCATCCCCTGCCCCCGTCACGATCATCTATCAACAGAAAACACTGCTCGGTTATACGAAATGTGTTCACAGAGAGGGAGGGAGAGAGAGGTGAAGATCATGGACCTGGCCATCGGGTGAGACCGCGAGGTAAAGGACCCTCATACTGTGACCGGTCAAGGTCGCAACCTGTAGCCAAAGATTGATACTTGATAGTGTAAGTCGAGTGACAGAAGAGCAGAGATGATGGAACACTTGTTTGGAGATGTACCTTTGCCATGGATGGATACTTCCAGAGCATGATTTCGTTCTGAGAGTATCCGTGAGTGCTCACGATCTCATTCACGTTCTTGCTCCACGCCAGATTGCATACCTGTTGCCCAAAAACACAAAAGCTTCACAGGTGTCGGCTATCCGAATTTTTTCGGTGTATCCGACCTCAGCTTCATCTATCATAGGTTTCTTGGTCAGACAATCCGATCTCGGTCTTGTGAGGTTCGGTTTTCGCATTTGGGACCCGCAACTTGCGAGTCAGGCGGAAACTCGAAATTTCGGGTCCTGTGCCAACCCCTGGCTCGGGGAGGTGTATATAAATTTTGAAACAGCCTAACAGTTGTGTCATTGTTACCTGGCTACCGGTGTCAATGCTGTTCAACTGATTTCCACTGGTCGTGTTCCAGAATCTAATGCACCTATCAGCGGTTCCGCCTCCCGAAACAAGGAGGTTGCTCTGGTGAGGCGACCAGGCGATTGCCTTAACCGCAGCTGTGTGTTCGGTCAGTTTGAGAATCGGTTGCTTGGAATGATTGTTCCACACCAGAAGCTGCTCGAGAAACATATTTCAACACGTAAGAAAAATACGGAAACTTTGGACCCGAGATTCGCTTTCGATCTAATCGTACCTGATTGTCGTTCCCACCAGACGCGAGCTCTCTATCGTCATGCGACCATTTAAGCCCACAGACCTCAGATTTATGTCCCACGAGTTTGCTGACAAAGTCGTTCTGAACTCGGATATCGTGTTGAAGAATGTTTCGATCTCTGCTCCCTGATGACAAGATCCTGGAGTTCCACGCCAAGACACTGGTTCTTGTCTGGTGTCCCCCCATTGTTCGGACTTTCTTACATTGCCTTCCATCCCATACCTGCCCGGAAAGGAAACGAACAGATATATGTAGATGTCGATTTACTAGCATAGTTTTGTACATGAACGAGAGAAATACTTGCAGAGTTGTACCTGAACTTGACCGAGACTTGTACCGACCGATATGTACGAACCTTCTCGAGTCCATTGAACTGAGCAAACGCTATCGCTAGGACCCAGGTCGCATAATTTCGTAACCTGACAAGAGATTCACATCGTTTATTTTTCTTTCAGATCGTTATCTGAGAAAGTGAAATGTGGAAGAGAGTAGTATCATTAAGACACGTACTTTGCTGTTAGAAGCAGACCAAAGGTAGACACAGGTGCCAAGCCCGACCGCGAGCACATTCTGTGAGCTCCAGTCCACGAGGTTCAGGTAGAAATCATCCTGAAGTGAAGGCGCATCCAAGACCTGGAAAAATCACATCAAAGCATACCTCAATACTCACTCTGAAGTGTATGAACTGATATCTCTGTCTCAGAGTCCTGTTCAATTGAGCTAACCCTAGCGAAATCTGGAACAAACCCAGAAAAGGGCGGATTCCATTCATGGCTAGAAGTAGTAGCAGATCAACACATTAGAGTTAAGAATTCGAGTTCGATCTGCTTCCGAAAGAGAATTTGGCTACCTTGTGAGGGGCTTTAGGGACTTTTCGTGGCGGTTTAGGTGGAGGAGACGACTCGCAGGAGAAGCCATTATCGTTTCCGAGAATGGAAGGTGAAAACGGGGAATCAGGCCCCGAATTCGAATGCTCTGTCTTGAATCGGAACAAGTTCGTGCTCGGACTCATCGGAGAGGCGACAGATCCTTGAACACCTGCAGGAGACAAACAAGGAGAACCAAAATCAGGTCCAAAGAGCTCGGATTTCAACAACCTCGAATAGGCTTCGTTGCCTCCCTCTTTCACCGGAGACGGCTTGTCGGTGAGTCCGAAGGTGTGGAGCCTCGAAGAGGATCTGCATGGTATGAATCGATCGCTGCAGGTTGATTTTGAAGGTGAAGACAAGCTCGAGATCCCACGGAACGAGCTCGAGAACGTCTCGAGCCGAAGCGAGGCCTGGTTCATCCCGGAGGGCAGGTTCAGGCCGGATTTCTTCTCCTGCGGAGATTCCATCTCGTCGGTTTTTCTGGGTTTCTGTCGGAATCTTGATTTGTGTTCGTCGGAGAGAGAAGATCGAAGAAAGTGAAGGAGATGATCGAAGGAGGAGCTCTCTCCGTATTTTTTTTTTTTTTTTTTTTTTTTTTTGCTCTTTTGAAAAAAAAAGAGCTCTCCAACGGTCAAATTTTTGTGGAGGTTAGGGTAATGAATAATGATGTAGGAGCGGGATCTGAGTATATATTACCAAACTATATATGTACGTATGATTTGGGATTGATACAAAAAAAATAATATAATTTAAAAATATAAATTTTATTCTATTAACACAACAAAGTTAGAACTGAAACCCCGTGAAAAAAACATATGATGGGCTCAACATGGGCCTCATATGAAGGCCCATAAAGATGCATAAAGACTTTGTAAAAATGGGCTTTTTCCTTTTGATCCTCTTTCGCAGCAGAAAATTTTGCCGATTTCGCTTCACAATAAATAAAAATTCAACTGTTATGAAATCGGAGAGATATAAACGACCCGAATATTAGATCGTTTAACTATAACCGAAAAGAGTATTTTGGGAGAATGGAGAAAGATGTATTTCTTATTGATTTCTCTCTTGAAAGTGTACAAATGAAGGACCCCAAATGACCTATTTATAGAAATCCCAAAGTTAATGTTCACGTATACGGTCGGTGTGAACAGTACCGTATATATGAACAGTAAGTCGGTGTGAACAGTAACGGTGGGCTCCACCATAAATATATTTTATTTATAACACTCCCCCTTGGAGCCACCGTTAGTAAAAACACAGTTGCGTGTTTCGGTGCTGCCTCGTTAAAACCTTTATCAGTAAAACCCAATGGGATAAAACCTGATAAAGGAAAAAGAGTACAGCTACACGCTCCCCCTGAACAAGAGATCAAGGATCCCGTAAATGACGCATTCCAATATTATGTACATGCTTCTTGAACACCATCGTCGGGAGAGCCTTGGTGAACAGGTCTGCTGCATTGTCACATGATCGTACATATCTGACTTCAATCTCCTTATTCTTTTCAAGCTCTTGGGTATATGCGAAAAACTTCGGGGGAATATATTTTGTTCTATCACTTTTGATGAAACATTCCTTAGTTTGTGCAACGCACGCAGCATTATCTTCAAACAATATTGTTGGCGTTGTGTCAATAGGTATTCCACAAGCCTTTTGAATATGTTGAGATAATGATCTCAACCATACTGATTCTCGGCTCGTCTCATGTAATGCTATGACCTCGGCATGATTAGCTGATGTAGCGACTAGGGTCTGCTTTTGAGAACGTCAGGCTAGCGCAGTTCCATTGATTGTGAAGACATAGCTTGTTTGTGACCTGCCTTTATGTGGGTCTGATAAATATCCTGCATCTGCAAAACCAACAATTTCTTGTTTTGTGCTTTTAGGATAAAACAACCCAAGATCAATATTTCCTTGAAGATAACGAAATATATGTTTAACCCCATTCCAATGTCTTCGTGTTGGGGCAGAACTGTATCTTGCTAATAGATTGGTAGCAAATGATATATCCGGTCTAGTACAATTTGCAAGATACATAAGAGCTCCTATTGCGCTTAGATACGATACTTCAGGACCAAGTATCTCTTCATTATCTTCGCGAGGACGAAATGGATCCTTTTCAATGTCCAATGTTCTATTAACCATCGGGGTACTAAGTGGGTTTGCCTTATCTATATTGAATCGTTTTAGTACCTGTTTTGTATAATTTGATTGATGTAGAAAGATTCCATCTTTCAAATGTTCTATCTGCAGCCCAAGACAATACTTGGTTTGTCCAAGATCTTTCATCTCAAATTCCCCTTTTAAATAAGTGGATGCATCATGGATTTCGTGGGGAGTACCAATGATATTCAAATCATCAACATATACAGCAATAATCACAAACCCAGACATTGTCTTTTTGATAAATACACATGGTGATATAGGATCATTTGGATATCCATTTTTCAATAAGTGTTCACTCAAGCGTTTATACCACATACGCCCTGATTGTTTTAGCCCATATAATGATCGATGTAACTTGACAGCACATAACTCTCGTGGTTTTGCTTTCAATGCTTCGGGCATTTTAAATCCTTCAGGGACTTTCATATAGATACTCGTGTCAAGTGATCCATATAGATAAGCAGTAACAACATCCATGAGACGCATTTCTAAATTCTTTGTAACTGCAAGACTAATTAGGTATCGGAATGTAATAGCATCCATAACAGGAGAATAAGTTTCTTCGTAATCTACTCCTGGTCTTTGGGAAAAACCTTGTGCGACAAGACGAGCTTTGTATCTTACAATTTCGTTGTGCTCATTTCTTTTCCGCACAAACACCCATTTACATCCAACAGGAGAAACTTCTTTCGGTTTAATAACAATATGTCCGAATACCTTTCGCTTATTAAGCGAATCTAATTCAGCTTGTATTGCGTCTCTCCATTTATTCCAATCTGGTCTCTTTTGACACTCCAAAATAGATCTGGGTTCTGGATCCTCATTTTCATCGATTTCCTTTGATACATTATAAGAAAATATATCATCAATCTCTTTGATTTCTTTTCGATTCCATAATGTACCATTACTGATATAATTGATTGAGATCTCATGATTTTCATTATCTGGATTTATACCACCATCACAACGTATTTCATTTCTTTGATTTGGAACGCTTTCCTCCGAATTGAGCATTTCATTTTTCTTGGGCCCTTTGCTCTTTGGGGGTTTTTATCCTTAGAACCAATAGGTCGTCCACGCTTCAGGCGTGTTTTGGAATCGTTTGTCGAATTTTCTTTCGTTTGTTCTTTCGGAATTTCAATCCGTGCAGAAACATTTGCATCATCTATATATGATCTTGTTACTCTAGTTGTATCTGCAAACGCATCAGGTAACTGATTTGCAATATTCTGCAAATGTATAATCCTTTGAACTTCTAGTTCTCGTTGTTTTGCTGGGGGATCAAAGTGGGATAATGATGGTGTACACCAATTAAGATCATTTTCATTTCCCACCATTCTATGATTTTCTCCCCCTAATGGTGGGAACTCATTTTCATTAAAATGACAATCAGCAAATCGAGCCGTAAAAACATCTCCAGTTTGTGGCTCCAGATATCGTATAATGGATGGCGAATCATATCCAATATATATTCCAAGTCTCCTTTGTGGTCCCATTTTTGTCCGTTGTGGTGGGGAAATCGGGACATATACTGCACATCCGAATATTCTTATATGCGATATATTAGGTTCTTGACCAAATGCTAATTGCAATGGAGAATACTTATGATATGCACTTGGTCTGATACGAATCAATGATGCAGCATGCAAAATAGCATGTCCCCACACAGAAATGGGTAATTTTGTTTTCATTATCAATGGTCTGGCAATCAACTGAAGTCGCTTGATTAATGACTCTGCCAACCCATTCTGTATGTACATGTGCAACTGGGTGTTCAACATCAATACCCATTGCTACACAGTAATCATCAAAAGCTTGTGATGTAAATTCTCCAGCATTATCAAGTCTCACTTTCTTGATCGGATACTCTGGGAACTGTGCCCTTAGTTTAATTATTTGAGCTAATAATCGGGCGAATGCCAGATTTCGCGATGATAAAAGACATACATGCGACCATCTGCTTGAAGCATCAATTAATACCATAAAATATCGAAATGGTCCGCATGGTGGATGAATGGGTCCACAGATATCACCATGAATTCTTTCTAAAAATGATGGTAATTCATACCCGATTTTAACTTGTGATGGTCTAATTATTAACTTTCCTTTGGAACATTCATCACAAGAAAACTCATCCGATTGAAAAATCTTCTGGTTTTTCAATGGGTGACCAAGAGAATTTTTGATAATTTTTCTCATCATGATGGCACCTGGGTGACCCAACCGATCGTGCCAAACTTTGAATGTATCAGTAAACTTCTGGTTTACTATAACATGTGATTCAATCACATTGATATTAGTATAGTGTAATCCCGAGGATAGAGTGGGTAATTTTTCCAACACATACTTTTATCCCGAATTGATTGATGTGATATGTAAATACTCAGTGTCGTCCTCATTCATAGTTTCAATATGATATCCATTTTGTCGGATATCTTTAAAACTCAGTAAATTTCTTTGGGACTTGGAGGAAAATAATGCATCTTTTATTATAAATTTTGTTCCTCCTGGCATAATGAAATCAGCTCTTCCAGAGCCTTCGATTATTTTTGCATTTCCAGATATAGTAGTAACATTTCCTTTGTTTATTCTCAGATTCGAGAAATATTTTCTGTCTTTCATAATTGTATGTGTTGTAGTACTATCTGCCAAACATATATCTCCTCCTCGGTCCGCAGTTTTGGCCATATTCGTTTTCTATTCAAGAACAGAACAACATTATATAAAAAAAGATATATTAATAACGGATAATATCATTAATAACTTATAAAGTAGAAATAGTCATATAAGACACAACAACATATCATATTTATACATGAGAATGCATATGCAAATAATATTGATTATATGAAGTAAACAAGTATTTATATAGTTTATTCATAACCAGCTCCATCTTCAGGATGGGCAAAAACATCAGCGAGGTCCATGTGTACAAAGTCCTTAGCACCACTAGCATCATCATCATAGTCGCTTATGACATGATTGGTCTCGATATCTTTTCCTTTTGTTTCTTTAATCGACTTTTGGTAAAGGTCCACCAGGTGTTTAGCAGTGCGACAAGTACGCGACCAATGTCCCGTCATTCCACATCGGTGGCATGTACTTTCTTTCATCCTCTTGTTCGGATGTCCATATGCTCCCCCTTTATTATTGTTAAAATTATGATTTTGGGATGAATTTCCTTGATCACCTCCTCTGATCCATCTTCGGCTGGCACCACGACCGCGCCCTCGGCCTCGGCCTCGGCCTCGGCCTCTACCTCGAAAATAACCACGTCCTCGACCATTATAAGACATAGCATTCACTCCGGGGAATGATGTTTTTTCTGTAGCATTCATTTCAGGGAATGGTTTGTTTTCTGTAGCATTCGCTTCAGGGAATGGTACAGATCCAGTCGGTCGTGATGCATGGTTTTTCATTAACAGCTCATTATTCTGTTCTGCCAATAGGAGACACGATAAAAGCTCCGGATATTTTGTATACCCCTTTTCTCGATATTGTTGTTGGAGTATAATGTTCGATGCATGCATTGTTGAGAAAGTTTTCTCCAGCATCTCATTTTCGCTGACTGTTTCTCCACATAATTTTAGAATCGATATGATACGGTACATTGCCGAGTTATATTCGCTAACATTCTTGAAATCTTGAAATCGGAGGTGCATCCACTCATATTTTGCCCTTGAGGAGGATCACCGTTTTTTGATGATCGAAACGGTCTTTTAATTTTAACCAAAGATCTGCAGGATCTTTGATTGTCAAATATTCATTTTTTAAATCATCATGAAGATGATGTCGCAACAGTATCAGTGCATTTGCCTTATTTTCGTTTGATGCGCCTTTTTCTTTAATAGTGGTACCAAGACCCTTTGATTCGAGATGCAATTCAACATCCAATTGCCATGATAAATAATTGTTTCCCGATATGTCGAGGACCTCGAACTCGATATTGGTCATTCTTGCCATTATGACTAAACAAAAAAATACGCCATACATTAGTTTTATTCATTACCATGGATAATGCAACATAGTGAAATACATGATTACATATAAAATTGCTATAATTAGTAACAATAAACGAGAGGTAAGACCGCAACGCAAATTGAAAACAAAAGCGGATCGGGATTTTTATCAAAGAAAATACTAAACGTTGCTACTAAAATTGCAAAAACAAAGAGAATTTTGATGAAATTCATCTTGAGAATTTTTTTTCGTGGGAGAAGAGAAGAGAATGGGATGATTTAGTGTGAGTTTTTGAGTGAATGAGTGAGTGTATTTATAGGGTAAAATTCATTATTCGTAGCCGTTGGGGAGGAGCCAAAATTTTGATTTTTTTTCTTTCCTTTTTTTTTAATTGTAGCCGTTGGAGTTTTTTTTTTAATTTTATAAATGATTTTAATAATTTATATCATACAACTATATAAAATAATTTATCAAAACGAATTGTTAAACTATTTTGTAAAATTAATTGATCATGCTATATATATAATTAACTAATTATTGAGGAAACAAATAATTTATAATTAATATAACGATATATAAAAAAATTTATAAAACTTTAATCGTAAATTTTATTACTAACACATTTTTTTTTGTTCAAAACATTTTCCGTATAAATGACCATCAATATTATATATGATAATATTTTGCATGATGAATATTTATAATTTATATAGATTAGATAATATAATTGTTTATATGTGGCGGTATTACCATATGCAGAAGTAAAATAATTTAGGCGGCATTGCCGTCCATAAAGAATAAACACAATAGTTTATTAGTAAGTAAGGCGACACATCCATCCAATATTAACAATTAAGGCGGCATAGCCGTCCAATAAAAGATAAATAATTAAAGCGGCAAAGCCGTCCAAATTAATAATTAAGGCGGCACAGCCGTCCAATAACGAATAAATATTTAAAGCGGCATAGCCGTCCAGATTAACAATTAAGGCGGCAGAGCCGTCCATAAATAATAATAATAAAGGCGGCATAGCCGTCCATAAATAATAATCGAGGCGGCATAGCCGTCTATAAATTAATTATAAAGAATATCGGTATTCATATATAGCTTGAGGTAATTCCACTCAAGCATCAATGAATACATATATATATATCATAAGATTGAAAATATTTGTATTAAAGATAAGTTATCTTACCTTTAGTTATAGAAGAGCGCTCGTGCTGATAACGTGTTATGAATTCGGAGAGATATAAACGACCCGGATATTAGATCGTTTAACTATAACCGAAAAGAGTATTTTGGGAGAATGGAGAAAGATGTATTTCTTATTGATTTCTCTCTTGAAAGTGTACAAATGAATGACTCCAAATGACCTATTTATAGAAATCCCAAAGTTACTGTTCACGTATACGGTCACCGTATATATGAACAACTCCCCTATAAATATATTTTATTTATAACATCAACCTCTTTCTTCTGCCAGACCTGAATTTTTCAATCTTAATCCGTTGTGGGGTTTAGGGTTCTTCCTGCTCTTCGCTCGGACACTGCTTCTTCTGCTTTAATCAGGCATCATGACTGCCGAACAAAGGGAAGAAAACGCGGCCAAACTGGAAGAACAGAAGATCGATGTAATGACCTCTTTTTCTTTGTCACTAGCTGTCTCGTGTTGCCTCGAGTGATTAGTCTGGTTTTGGATTTAGATCTCGATTGCGCGTTCGGAAAGTGGTTATTCTGTTTTTTTTTTCTGTAGATGTTGCATATTGGGACTTTCGAGGTTAGATCTGAATCGAGTTCTTTACTTTTTCCTCTCAATTTGTTTTCACTTGTTTTGATTTATGAACTATTCTTGATTCTGGGATTTTCTCATCAATCGGATTTGGATGCATTATTATTAGCATGATATCTTAGCTCTGATTTGTATAGCGTCGGTTCTGTTTTTGATTATTCGTTCATCATTTCCATTTCCGTTTATGTTGTTTCATTCTGATTGATCATTTCTTTTTCTTTTACAGCTCGACAAGCCTGAGGTTGAGGACGATGATGACAATGATGAGGATGAGTCCGAAGACGATGACGAGGCAGAGGGTAAACTGTGTTTTTTGTTTTTGGTTTTTCACTAAGCTTACATGATTCTGTAATATATGTGATGTTCATTTGTTAGAATCCGACAATGTTGACGATTCTTTCCCAAATTTTCCATGCTTACCTTGTTTCTTCTTCATTTGAATTTGATCTGTTCATATTTTTAAGGCTCCATGCTAGTTTTTTTTTTTTTTTTTTTTTTTTTGCAAATTTCTAACGGTGAAAGTCCTAACATCGTGTCTAGGCTACTGTTTACATCTGGACACAGTTAGAGTGGATTTCCATGTTTGAACTTTGATATCACCTAGAAATGGAGTATCAATCGTGAATTGGATTTGAGTGTGTGGAGTCAAAGACAGATGAGTTGTTTATTGCACTTCTGAAACTTGTTCCATGAAGAGATCATTTATGGAGGTGATTTTGTTGTTTAATAATCCCGAGACGCGGTTGTTGTTTTGTGCTAATTTGGGAAGGTACCCATTACAGCATGGGTAATTAGACATCATTCTAGCTGGTCGTTTCGTTGAGTTTTGATGGATGTAACCATGTGTGGTTAACCAGGACAAGATGGGGAGGCAGGTGGTAGATCAAAGCAAAGCAGAAGCGAGAAGAAGAGCCGTAAAGCGATGCTGAAGCTCGGGATGAAACCCATCCCCGGTGTTAGTCGTGTCACCGTGAAAAAGAGCAAGAATGTCGGTACCCCTTTCCATATTACAATCTGCATAAATACACTGACAAGCATATTGATAGAAACTTTGTTGGGTCATTGTTTCGGGATGGCAGATCTTGTTTGTCATATCGAAACCCGATGTGTTCAAGAGCCCGGCTTCAGACACGTATGTGATTTTCGGGGAGGCAAAGATTGAGGACTTGAGCTCACAGCTTCAGACGCAGGCGGCTGAACAGTTCAAGGCTTCCGACCTAAGCAACGTGATCTCAAAGGGCGAGACATCGGCCGCAGCAGCAGAATCAGCATCGGCTCGGGATGAGGAAGAGGCCGATGAAGAGATTGACGAAACGGGTGTTGAGCCTAAGGACGTCGAGTTGGTCATGACACAGGCCGGAGTGTCGAAATCGAAGGCCGTGAAGGCTCTCAAGGCTGCTGACGGAGACATAGTCTCTGCCATTATGGAGCTCACTACCTAAAACTGAAATCTTTTTTCCTACTTAGAAATGGGTTTTCCACTTTTGGGTTTACATGGTCAGATTTGCGGTCTATAAAGGAGTCTTCAGAATTTTGGGTTTCTTCCATTGGAGTGTTGCGTTTCTTTTAAGTGGTTTTGTTTTTGTTGTATCATTATGACAACCTTAATCTTGATGTTCATTTTGCTTTGAGTTCGGTGTATGCTCTTGACATGAGGATTGCAAATTTTGGCTTCCAATATATGAAATGAGTTAAAAGAGTTTAAGAGATATATTTAAGAATTATGATTATAAGCGGGATTTGAGTTCTTGGGGTTCATGTTGGGTGAATTGAAAATTCAGGTTTATATAGATGAACAATTTGAAAGAATATATTAATGAATTTTTTGATTGAATTTTATATGTAAAATGGATACAAATATCAGATTACTTTATCCAAAATCCGAATAAATGGAAAAAAAATTCAATCCCAAATAAAAACTTGGTTTAAGACGTTATCTATTTCCATTCCATACATCCAACCAAACCAAAATATCCCTTGATCATAATATTAAGTGTTATCCATTTCCATTTTATATATTAAATCAGAGAAAACTACTCCCTGTTAAATTGAATAACAACTATGTTCTATAAAAATGGAATAAATATAATTGTTCTAAATGCGAAATACCAAAACCTGAATAGCATGTATAAATAATTGAAAAGAAATAAATATTCCTTTAGAAAACAAGTATTTTCATCAAAGAAAAAACAAATTCGAACCGAATCCGAACAAAAATAAAAATCAAACTGAACAAAAAACCGAATGCATATGATTTTTTAAAACCGAAAAAATATGAACTAAAAAAATAACCGAACCAAAACCAAACTGAGAGCCAAAATGCCAACCCTTTTACTCTTAATGCTTAGCTAAATCCTCCTCCGGACCATATCTGTCTCCATTGCAGAACCAATTTGGAGGACTGTCCGAGAGAATGTTTGTTCTGGCCAAGTGAATCTCACTTCAAGCTAGAACCAAACTCAGAATCCTTAGCTCAAACCATGTTCTTATTTTCTTGAACAAGGAAATAGACCTATCTAGTGAAAGAAGTTCAATACCAGAAAAGGAAACCATTAACACCTGCAAATCAAAGGATTCATTTTACATAAAATGTTCATCATCATCATCATGAAGAAGGATATATCGATCCCCCCGAGCTAATCAAAACTCCGCTCACCGAACTGAAATCAACAACAAGGCCTTCACTTCTCAAGAGCCCTAAGCCTCTAAACCTAAAACCATTTCACTCAACTAGAATGGCATATAGTTCCTCATTCTAAAATGGGTACTTGCTCGAAAAAAGCATTCAGATTTCACAAATGAATCAGCTGTTTCTCTATACATGAAACTGTCTCGGGTTCAAACGCAAATGCAAACCTTTACACTCGTATCAATAGATCCATAAGGTTTAATGCTCATCACAAATGCAAAAACAAAAAACAAACAAGGGTTGAAAATTGAAATCACCCTCCTGTCCTGTCATCAACCGAAACTAAAGTTCGGGACTTGATCAAACTCGAATTTCCTCTATGTGCAGCATTGTGCAAGCTATGTGTATGATCATGAAATAAACATAAAGATCAATCAATCGAAATGTAACCAGAGATAATTTCCTGAAAGATGCGAACCGAATCTCAAGAATGCAATCTAGCTGCTATAGAAGCAACCTGAACCTCCATCTGAGCTGCCCTAACTTTGGCAGCAGTGGCACGGTGGAAGAACTGCTCCCTCGACAACAATCTCACGTTCCTCAAGTACTGATCAAATGGCACTGCCCCATCTTGCAGCGCCTTATCCAAGGAATAGACAGTATCTTCAATGGCTAAGTCCAAAGCAGTACACTCTAACATCTGTTTGGACAATGTGTCTACGCATTCAAAGGCATTATCCACATCCAAATCCCCTAAATTCTTTGTCTTCCCTTCGTTCTCCCTAACCCACGAATCTAGAATATCTGTGTTCATAGAGATAACCTGCAATTGCTGCTCTAAGCCCTCTTTCTCGTCGATCATCTCCTTAAAACCCTTGTTGATCTCCTCCTCTCTCCTCTTCAGAGATGCCTGCAAGCTCAGAAGCCCCTCCGCTTCGCCCTCCTTCGCCCTCCTCATCGCCGCGAGATCACCGTGAACCATCTCCACGATCTTATTGATCGCGTTCTTCTTGTAAACCTCAGCCGCATCATCCGTCTGCTGCTGCGACGGCGGATGATGCTGATGATGGAGGTGCTGCACCCTCCCTCCTCCACCATACGGAGACGGCGGGAACGGCCTCAACGGCGGCTGATCCACCGGAGGCCGCGTGTGAGGCGTCGCCGACGACGATCCATAACCAGATCCGATCGAAGACGACGAATACGCCGGCGAAGGAGACGACGGAGGCTGTGGGCGGCGCTGGGAGTAAAGCGGCGGGTCACGGGCGAAAACGGCGCTCAGCTCGGAGACTAGATCGACGAGATTCGAACTAGGGTAAACCCAGTTCTGCAAATAGGGAACAGAAGCGAGCCCAGAGGGCGTAACGTGAGAGTGAGGGCGCTTAATGATCATGTCGCGCGTGGGATTCACGTAGACGCAAGGAGGGTGGCGAGGGTAGGACTCGAGGAGCCAGATGACGACGGGGATGTTGTAGGTAACGCCCTGAAATGGCATCGGCACTGTGCCGTCAGCTTGGAGGAGGTTGACGGAGCGGCCATCGTTGTGGGTAAACGTCGCAGTCTTCGGTTCGAGGGAAGGGTATGATGATACGAGGTTGAGGAGGTGTTGTCGTATCAACCATTTGGTGCTTTCGGCGTAAGGTAAAGCCGAAGGGCCTCGTTGAGAGAGCACGGAGGAGAGGAATTGCTGAATCTGCTGCGGATTCGGTGGATTTGACGGCGGCGGAACCATCGGCGGCGGCGGATTCCAATCGGAGGTGAAGACGAAGAAGAAGGCGAAGACGACGATAATGAAGAAGAAGAAGAGGAATTTCGTAGAATGGGAGGTTTACGCGTCCGTCTGTGAATTCCTTCGGAGATCTGTTCTTCTTCTTTGGTTTTTCACACAAAATTTGAAAATTATAAATTTATCGTTAATTTAATGATATAATTTTAAAGTAATTTAAATTTTATCCATTAAAATAATATAAAATATTATAACATTCACAGGAGAAACTCTCCAATTTTAATTTAGACAGGCATTGATTACACGTTCGCGTATTTTCTTTGAATGGTCGTCAGATAAACTATATCATTGACTATGTATACAAAAAATATTTAATATTATTATATTAAATAATTCATGTAATGAAATTTTATAAATTCGACCTTTCTAATCACATTAGCCAGATGAAATTATCTCACCGGTCGTCACGGGGTTGTGTTACTGTTAGTAGAAACCAGACAGCTTGTGATGCAACGAATATCATACGATGCCACGTGTAAATTAGTGATTTTCTTCGTACTCTGATTGGCCCGTTTTTATGTATTTCTGAACGACCGTATTTGTATAATTAACAGTTATATATTGTTTTAATTTTTTTATTATATTTTTATCTCTCGGAGATCGTACGGACGAACGTGCTTCGGGAGAGGAGAAAGAAGACGCCGTCGGATCTGGTTTTCGTCGGTGATCCATGGAGTAGATGAAGAGATTTCACGATCTGAAAATGAAGTTTCTGTACAGATGATTTGCTCTGAGTCTTGATCTGTAGAATCGGTTTCGTTTTCGCGTGAACTGCGAGAAGAAATTCCTTCTCAGGGATTTTTTTTTTTCACGTTCGGGGATTTCTGGGTTTTGCGTGATCGCGATCCAAAACCATGAAGAAAAAGCTCGATACTCGCTTCCCAGCTGTAAGTGATTGTCTTCGAATTTCACGCCTCTCTTGATTAATTGGTTGTTTTTTTTTATTGAAGCAATCTATCGGAAATTGAGATCCAATTTCTCGATCCGCTGTTTCTGAATCATTTTTCTAACATTTGGACGGGGGGATTTTGTGATTGTTTTGGAAGAATTGTTGATTTTATTTCTTAATTTGGAGTCGAGATCTGCTCCATGTTTATGACCTATCTGTTGAACCCCCCTCCCCATTTGGATTCGTGAAATTAATTCTTCCGGATGTTTCTTCAGATCTGCTACAGATAACTGGGTATAAACTGATTAATCTCTCGATTCCAAATGGGATCGAATCGTATGGGTGGGGATACATTTGATGGTGGTCGACTGTCTCCGAGTAGATAGAACCTAAAATTTCTCAATGCTTGTTTCACTCGAGTTGAGTTGGAATTCCAATTTGAGTCACAATGTTTCATGTTTCTACGAAGTGATTAAAGTTGACACTGTGCTCCTCTTCACGGTGTTTGTGTATTCGCCATTTGATATAAACGATGAGTAATTTGCAGGCTCGTATTAAGAAGATAATGCAAGCTGATGAGGATGTTGGGAAGATAGCACTAGCGGTGCCCGTCTTAGTTTGTAAGCCTTCGTGGATTTGTTGTAGATCCATTTCAAAGATCAATTCGGATTCCTTTCCTTTTTCGATCACTTTTGTTTTCCTGTTGCAGCAAAAGCTTTGGAATTGTTCTTGCAAGACCTCTGCGACCGTACCTACGAGATTACCCTCGAGAGAGGAGCCAAGACTGTGAGCTCATTGCACTTGTAAGCCATTGTTTATTCTTTCCTCGAATACGCAACAAGCATCAAACTTTTCCTCCTATCCATCTAAATCTTTCATTGTTCAGATGCTTTAGCTATTGATATTCTGTATTCTGAATTATCAGAGCTAGAAATGGATAATCTGATATAATCAAACCTTTTGGATAACTAATAGTGCTCTAACTTTGATCGTTTGGTTTTGCACTTATATTTGCCATAATACTAATCCAGATCCATTAAATTGTTTCTTGATTGCAGAAAACACTGTGTGGAAAGATATAATGTATTTGATTTTCTGAGGGAAGTTGTCAGCAAGGTTCCTGACTATGGCCATGGACATGGTCATGGTCATGGTCATTCGGATGCAAACATGGATGAGCGGAGCATCTCTAAGAGAAGGTTTCATCTCTCACTTCAGCTCTCATTTTCTGGGTTTGTTGTTTACCTTTGCGAAAAGCTGATATTTGAGTTGTGTTTGATAGGAAACCCACTGGTGATGAAGACAGTGACGAGGAATTGAAGAAAAGCAGAATGGTGAGCTCTCTATTCCCCTTAGATCGTTAACACGTTACCATCATTATCACATAATGATCTAGAAAACAAGGGTTTTGGATATGATATTTTGATATGGGTTTAACCGATGCAGCAGGAGATAGGACATGCCGGGCCGAGCGGAAGAGGCAGAGGAAGGGGACGTGGAAGGGGTCGAGGACGAGGTGCAAGAACAGCAGAAAGAGAGCATCTCAACCGCGAGATGGAAGTTGAACCTCCATCCATATCATTCCCACCTCCTGAAGACACTACCAAGACACTTATACCGCCAATACCGCTATTGCTACCACAAGACAGCAGCGAGAAGAAGGATTCGGACGGGGTTCCACCAGCAGAAGATGGGTCTTCCCAGCCGAAACCACAGCTGCAAAGTCCAAAGGGAAGTCAGGAAACTAACACGGGGCTTAGAACCTTCGACCTGAACGCAGAATCATCGGTAGACAACAACGAGACAAAGCAGCAGACGGGCGAGGAGATGAAACCCGAGGAATATCCAGGTTGGTCCATATCGGAAATGGGAAAAATCGATCCGATGCAGCTTGCAAGAATGGGGAAAAGATTAGATGAGGATGAAGAAGATTACGACGAAGAAGGTTGAGAGAGAAACTGAGACACAACCATTGATGTTTTGGTAGTAAGAAACGTCATTAGGGTTAAAAATAGAGTAGCAAGCTCTTAACAGCAATGTGTCTCTCTGGTTGGTTGTCTCTCTCTAAATCTTCGTTTCCTTTGGTTGTTTTTTTTTCTACGAAAAAAAAAGGTTCTAGGCTTTTAACACGTATGCATCAAACATTTGGTGAGAGTTAACAAAAAACGATCAATCCTCCTCCAATCCAAGCTTATGAATGTGCACAAGAGAAAGTTTGTAATCTTGATAAACGCAAAACGTTTCTTCTGCTCTAAATTCGAGATTCAAGTTGAAGTATTCACACGGCTTTCTTCTAACGTCGGAATTAGATTTGGTCTCGGCCTAAAATGCCCAACATACCTGATTACCAAAAAAAAGGTTTGTAATCTTGCAAATTTGCGATGAACACCTTAATTTTTTTTTTTGGGGTGAAAAATTGCAACTTTTGAAAATTATATTTAGGAACGGGTTGAGTGTTCAAAAGTTTGACAACATTCCGTTCATGTTTCTTGATTTTGTTATGGTCAAATACTCTTGACTTTTATTTAAGACACTAAGTTTTAGGGGTGGTTTTATTCGGGTTTTCGTTTATATTCAGGTTAAGCTATTTTGGTTTTAGAAAAATTATAATAATTCAGTTTTTATATTTAATTCAATTCGATTTGATTCGGTTATAATAAAATTATTTATTTTTTAAAAGAAATTTATGTTTTTTCAGTTTTTTTATTCGGTTCGGTTTCGGATTCAAATTCAGTTTTTTTGGTTTTTGAATAATCATAATCATTCGGTTTTACATTTGGTTCAATTTGATTATATTATGATTATACATTATTAAGTTGGGATCCATTCGATTATTTGGTTTTTAATCAAATATGTCACCCTTAAAATCAAACTAGTATTCGTTGTTTAAAGTTTTCATTTTATATGGAATTTAGAGTTTACTTGTATTATTTTTTAAAATGTTAAGGTTTATATTTTATATACAAATTTTACAAAATTTACAAAGTTGCTAGTACTGTTTTACAGACACGAGTTTATTTTATTTAGCTAAAAAAAAAAAGAAGGCAAAATTGGAAGGGTTCTACTACATGTTTTTTCTTCTTCGTATAAATGATAAACTAACCGTGAAATTAATGTTTCGAGTTTCACAAATTATTTTTGTTGTGTTTCATTGTAAAACATATTCATTGTATGTTACAATTCATTCAAACATTTATGATATAGTTAAGGAAATAGGGAAATAAAAAAACGTATTTGTTATGTCATTTAAAAATATTGAATGCATTTTTAATGTTCCGAGTTGAAATCTTGAATGTCGGATGTACTCTCTCCGTTTCAAAATAATTGTTGTTTTAGATTATTTCACATTTTTTAAGAAAATAGAAAAAAAGTCACATATACCTTATTTAATGATAAAAATAATGCTATCATTAATAATTCATTAAAATTTAATAGGGATAAAATTGGAAACTATTGTAAAAAAATGATTTGAAAATGTAGAATGACAAATATTTTGAAATATGGAAAATAACTTAAAATTACAAATATTTTGAAACGGGATGAGTATTTTTTTTAGCAAAAATATGCGAAAATATATTTGTCCGGTAAGAACGCACAACAGTCCAATTTCTGTCAAGAGCATTAATTTACAAATAAATACATACATTTTTAATGATATTTTGATTTTAAATTGAATGTAAAAATTCGCAACATTGAGAGTTATATAATTACTGGTAGTACTTTCAAATGGCAGTAATAATACCTGTAGTATATTTGTAATATAAATTAAAATAAATGTTAATTTAAATTAATCTATGTCCAAAAATATATATATTATAGATGAATATTCACATTCGTATAAAATAGAAAATATTATGGTTGCAATTAGATACAATTTGTGAAAGAGATTTTTGTTCTCGTCTCTTTTCGTAAGTTTTATACACGGAAAGGTTTTGATTAATCTAATTTAAATAAATAATTTTAAATCAAATCTAATTCAAATATGTTTAAACTTTATTCCGTGAAGCAAAAGCTTCATCTACTGACAATAAAAAATTATAAAATTATAACTAAAGAAAGTTTAATTAAAAAAATACACCATATTACTTCATGAATTGTTTCTCAGTATTCAGAACCCTAAAACTAAAACCAAAACTTTATTTAAAAAGAGGGTAAGTGTCTATCTATTCTAATATGCACCTCACATAAATCTTAAAAAAAAAAAAGAGATGATTTTTTATAAAAATAAATAAATAAATAATATTCAGCTGGGATGAAAAGCCAGCGGTACCATATCGGACAAAGGAGTAGAAACCCTAGACGGAGCCGGGGAGTTCCTGCAGAGCGGACACGTGGCACTGACCCGTAGCCACTCATCGACACAATCAACGTGGAAACAGTGATTACACTCTGGGATGCACCGCACCGAATCCCTAGCCTCGTAGTCACACAGGCAGATCGAACATGGGCCGTTATTGGGCCTCGGCAGCCTCCGGCTCTCGCCCAGCACTATCCTCGGGTACGACTCTATCGCCGGCCCATCCAGGCCCAGTTTCATCTCCTCCTCCACCGTCGATCCCGGCGGCGCGTGTAGCTCACGCGCTCCTCCGTCGCTCGAGTAGGCGGAGTCTTCGTCGTCTTCCTCTTCTCCCTCTCGGTGGTTCCCGGCTGATTTGGCTCTGATGCAGAGGTACGAGGCGAGCATGATCGTGGAGATGAGAACGAGGATGCTCACTGCAATCGCGATGCCGTATCCGAGCCCGACGCCGGCCGCCGTAACCGGCGGATCTGCCGCCGGCATGTATACGTACGTATAGGTGTGTATGATATGTATGTATAGAGAGAGAGAGAGAGGGGGGAGGGAGGAAGAGAGAGATCTGGGAGCGGAGGAGTGAGAGTGAATGAAGAAGCAGAAGGAGAAGGGGAGGGGACAGGTGCGGCGTGGTCCGCGGGAAAACAAAATTAAATGTTGGCATTTAATATTTTAAAATTTGACATTTACGAAAACGCCCTCACGAGATCTGATTTAAATAAATAATGGACCGTTGACTAAAGGGGGAACTCTTGAATTTTGAGAGATTTTATGGGAAACATTTTTTATTAGGAAAGTTATATTTACTTAGGACTTTTAAAATTTCCAAACAACGGCGCTTGATTGTTTTAAAATTTGTATTGATGTTTTATTTATTTATGTTTCTCATTGATATACAAAATTTATAAAATCCTCAACTTTTTCCAAACAAATTATATATCCATACTTCATCTCGATTTTGTTATTGCAATAACCAGTGTTGGTAAAATAATTTTAAATATTATTTTGAACTTCTATAAAAAATCAAGAGAAACCGATATTCTTGACCGTTAGTTTCATACGTTTTTAGATTTTATGATTATTATTATTTTTTTTGAAATTATAACGCAGCATCGTTCGATCTCTCGACATTTAGAGTGGGTAGTGTGTGTTTGAACTTATTAAATCTTCTAGGGAATGCTGAGATTAGAGACTTTATCGAATACTATTTATATTTATATTTATATATTTATTTATTCATTTATTCATATTGTTTATGTTGTGTTCGTATATATATATATATATATATCATCTGCATTTATTGAGACAGCTACTTAAAGAAGAATCAACGTTAACATGCTTGTATTCTTCGTGGATTGATATGCGTAGGACCACACCGAACTCAGCAATGTTTTTCATATATACACTTATCGTTCAAATATCTAATTTATAGAGAGATAAAATTATTCGATTTTCAACATTTTAAACAATTTCTATTCGAGTTCATATCTATACAATCTTAAATTGTCTTTATAATAGATTCAAATTCGGATTCCGTAATTCTAAATTCGATACATCAAATGTTCAATATACTATGTATATTTTATATTTATTAAAATTACAAAAAAAAAATGGCTAAAAACTTTCAAGTTAAAATCACATTTCAATACAAATGTTATGTTGATAATTAAAACCACGGACTAAATTGGATGGAAAACGTGTTTCATTATTCCTATACCATTTTTTATGTTTTTGTAAATTGACAAAAAAAAAAGTGTCCCGTTAAGTTTTTTAGTTCCTATTTAAGAAATATCATATGTATTGAATTTAAATATTTTTGAATTTGATACATATATTTTATTGTTTTATATTCACTAATTTAATTTTAAAATATATTTAATCCGGATACTATTATTAATTAATTCTTCACAAATTTATATATCTTATCTGAAAAAATGAACTGGAGATACTAATATTTACATATATTAATTTATGTTTCTTTTCCTTATAATAGACATTTTTATGCATGTGAAATTAATCAATTTTAACGGCACCGTGGGGTTATTCTCACTTGGAGGGACCTCTCCGAATTTCTTGAGAAACCAAAGAAACTAAATTGCAGAAAGAAGAAACCGGAGAAATCCAACGGCTCAGATTTCGTGTTCGTGGGGTATAAATACTTCAAAAATAAATCCATTTCTTAGGTTGAAGAAGCTCTGAATTCTCATCTTCCGCGCTCTCGTGATCTCCGGTTCTCCGCCGTGCGTTCTACTCCGTTCGTTTGGCTCCGTAATCTTCTGACTGATCGATCGGAGAGGAACGCGACGGAGAGAGGAGTTTAAGGAGGAGAACAGTAATTGTCAAGGTGAGCGGTAATCCCTGATCCTGTTTCGACGTTTTTTTCCCCCGGATTTGGAATTGATTCGCTTTGCATGCCCCTTTTTTTAATCCTTTGTACTGATTTCATCGTTCGCACGATCCGAAGGTTTGTCGATGCTTGTATATTTCTATTTGATTCCCCGGAATAATCGCGGAATTCTCCGAGAAGCATTTCTTTTCTTGATTTCGAAGTAATCTGATTAGTTCTCTCTGGAGCAGAAATAGAATCGAGATTAGCGTTTGGATGCGCTCCACTTGTTTTCCAGATACCTAGGAATCGAAGGGACAAAGCTTGGAATTTCGATTTAATTTCGTTTTTTAGCTGGAATTTTGTCAATTTTTGCTCTTGAGCTTGGCTAGGGTTACATGCAGTTAGGCACTTCCCGTGCGATTCATTGTATCCGTCTGAATCGTTTTCTGTGAATTAGGGACGTTCTTGGTGTACTGTGCGGATATCTTGCTTGACAGAATACAATGGTCACTGCTGAAAAGGACGTAGAGAATAAAGAATACCGTCTTCCCCGAGAAGTCAAGGATGCACTACAAGTGGTAGCGTCCGAATGGGAGGATGTGATTGATTCAAAGGCATTGCAGGTCATCCCCTTGAAGGGTGCGCTTACCAATGAGGTTTTCCAGATAAAATGGCCAACTAGAGAGGGTGGACCCTCGCGTAAGGTTCTGGTTAGGATTTATGGTGAGGGTGTGGATATATTCTTTGACCGTGAGGAGGAGATCAGAACATTCGAGTTTGTGTCGAAACATGGGCAAGGACCACTGTTATTAGAGAGGTTCCGCAATGGTCGTATCGAAGAGTTCATCCGTGCACGGGTACATATTTTATCTCTACTATTTTGAGTTTCGCTGTAAATTTTGTTGAAATGCGTTGAACCCGTAAGTTATCAGATAGCTCCAGTGTTTTTGAAATATGAGTATCCATTACTCAAAATGACGTATTCTTGTAATGTTCTGAATCTTCTAAAAAAATAACTTTCAGACACTATCTGCATGTGATTTGCGTGACCCTGAAATATCTGCACGTATAGCAGCCAAAATGAAAGAGTTTCACAATCTTGAAGTGTCTGGTTTGAAGAAGGCCTGGGTTTGGGATAGACTACGGTATGTTTCTATGTTCTGTTTTGTCGTGCAATGTTTTTTCTTACTTTTCTTCTGGAAAAAGTCAGAGTCCATTTGATCTTTTCATGTCATCGTTTCAGTGCTTTTTATTTTTGATCCCTTCCTTTCTGTGCTACAGAAATTGGCTGAGTGCATGCAAGAGACTGGATTTAGCAGAAGAAGCTAAATCCTTCGGTCTCGATGCTATAAAGGACGAAATTATTTTGCTTGAGAAATCTCTCTCTAGGGATGGTGAACTTATTGGATTCTGCCACAATGATTTACAGTATGGTAACATAATGATCGATGAAGAGAACCGATCAATAACAATCATTGTAAGTCGTCACCTTTCTCACAGTGAAAGTCTTTTTATGTGGACATGCTTATAGTGTAGATGTTTCATTGAAATGGAAACGACTAATCCATGCTGTCCTGTTGGCTATACAACATAGGATTACGAGTACGCGAGCTACAACCCTGTTGCATATGACATAGCTAATCACTTCTGCGAGATGGCTGCCGACTACCATACCGAAACGCCTCACATTTTGGATTACAGTAAATATCCTGGTAAGTGGTTATTCCAAGTGTTTGTTTCTTTTCTCTCCACCCTTTCGGAATGATAAGATCGTCATACGTGACCACAATAGGTGTGGAGGAGCGTCGAAGGTTTCTGCAAATCTATCTGAGTTCCTCTGGTAATTATTTTTTTTAATCCATTCGAATCACTTCCATTATCTCTCTTCTTTGGGCATACAAGCTAATATCGACAACTTTTCTGCCTCTCTTGTCGGGAATTTTGTGAACGTGTACAGGTGAGAAGCCGGGCGATAGTGAGGTGGAGATGCTGCTCGGAGATGTTGAGAAGTATACTCTAGTGAGCCATCTGGCATGGGGTTTATGGGGAATAATATCGGTACTTTCTACTGTCATCTTTCATCGTCGTCCTGCAATTGTAAGTGCCAATCGTAAATGTCTATTTTAAACCTTTCAGGAAAATGTGAACCAAATCGACTTCGACTACATGGAATATGCAAGGCAAAGGTTCGAGCGGTATCGGCAAACAAAGGCAAAGTTCTTGGCTAATCCCTGAATCATAGTCACAGGTACTACTCTCCTCTTTGTGTCGTCACTGAACGGAAGGCAGATCAAATCGCTCTTAGAGGCTCCTACACTATCAACTAGGTAATATCCTTCGACCCAAACAACTTCATCCGAATGAAACTGTTACATTTTTTTTTGGTAAATCGAAACTGTTACATTGTATAAGATCTCGAGAAGATAAAAATGGATTCGACTGTTGAAAAAATTTAGAAATATTATTTTTCTTTTTTTGTAGAGCCAAACACTTAATCTCCTCATTAGCTGATCTTCCCTTTAAATATATTCAGCTGTTGCAAAGACTCTGTTTTAAGTAATGTAGGGTGTTACCTAAACCAAAGCTAAACCAAGATAAACCGGTCTAAACCGACCATGGGATGGGAATTAACTCGTTTTGCATATCCGAGATTTTGGATATCCGTAGTTATTAGAGTATATGATCGGTTTAGGTCGGTTTATCCATGAGTTCTATTTGAATACCCAAACTCTGATACCATATTGGATTTAGGAGATTTTTGATTGAAGAAAGTTCTCTCTCGTTTGTTATTCATTCAAATGTAGAACATGCGTTGTTTATATAACTGAGACGTGAACCAAGATAAACCGGTCTAAACCGGCTGCATACCCTAATAGTAGTTTAACATGATGGAGCAGAGCGAATCAGGAAATTGAGTATCTGAATGGGACCTTTATTTTTTTCAAAGATAACTATGCCAATGCAATTTTTTTTTTTTTTTTGTAAGATTCAATATCATTTGTGAAAGTTGGAGATAGTAAGAAGAGTAAATGTAGTTTCCTTGTGAATTGAAATGTTATGACTAATATATTGCAATTTTCTTCCTGTTTATCACATACTCTTCTTGTTCCCAGTTTTGTGCGTCGCTCTCAATCTCGTGACTTCGATAATATCGTTATTGTTTTTGTTTCCCTTAGGGCTCGGTTTCATCGACTTTGGATATCTCATATATATATATATATATATATGAGATAACTCGAAAGTTTATCAATATTTTCGATCCAACTATATCTCTTAAAGTCTGAAGATAATTTGTATACCGCAATTAAATTGCACATCTTTTCTCCACCTACGGAGTCGAACCGACCACTTGAATGTCTAACCATCGTTTCGTGATCCGACCATTCAAATGCCCACCAATTGACTACCACCATATCATATATTTGTGTTTATTGAATCATTGCTTATACATGACAAGTTTGGATATATATATTATATACATTTTCAGAAGACTTTGTATCAGTCTTGGTCAAATATATCCGATTTTCGGATATCGAACCATAAACCTATCTGGCATATTAAATTTGGATATCCATTGATAGTGGATTTATGTGAAATTTTAGATATTAAAATCCGAATTATCTGGAATCTCTGAATCTCTGTAACGTGGTGGCAAAGTGATCTTGGTAGTACACAGAGTGTCTCTCCATCGACGGTTTGAACCGATGCATGGACATCACCTTTACCAAAGAAAAAAAAGTTTAAGCAAAGCCAAAGGGAATCTCGTTTTAGCAAAGGGTGGTTGGCTCAACTGGTAAATGGGTATACACAAAGAGTGTTTCACCCATGTTCGAATTTCACTCTTGACAAATCAAGTATTATCAAAATTTGTTTTAAGAAGCTAAGGATGGACAAACAAACAGAATTGACTTGATAAGTAAGTTAGTGAAACTAGTGTTTTGTTTTTACACGTTTATAGGTAAATTAGTTATATAACCTAAATTTTATTAGATATTGTAAAATCGTCATTTGAAAACTAGTTGTTTTGATATTGTTACAGTTTGAAAATAACATTAAAACTAAAGTCTAAAATCTAATATAAGGGTTTAAAAAAACTACATTTGAAACTACGTACCAGGATCTAGTTTGCTAAAAAAATATCTAGTTTGTCTATTCTCTATTTAAAAAGTTATATTCATTTTGTATATATTACGTATAAAACAAAAAACGAAATATAAATATTTAGATGTGACAAAAATATATATTTAATTATTTAAAGTATGGGATATGTGAGTCATGTGACAGCTAATTCAATTCTATTTAATTATATATTTCTTTATTTGCTATTTACGTTCTGATACTTCTATTGATAACTCTAAAAACTACGAATCTTGTATACTACTTATATCGGATGTGAATATTATGTTTAATATCATGAATTGAAATATAATATATATATATATATATAATCATTTATATAATTATCTAAAGTCTTATATAAAAATAATAGAAGTTTTGGACTGTAAATAAATGGTAAAAAAATATGTTTATCTTAATAGTTTACTTGTATTTGGATATACACACTTAAACATTTTTATTTTTTTACAATTTATATGTTTCTAATTTAGGTTTATTGATTCATAATTAACTCATATTTTTTTATTAAAACAATTAAAAAAAGTTGACCATAGAGATGTAATATTCAATTAATGGGTTTCAAATATATAGTACTGTATTGGGTCTTCAATGATTTTAAAATATTAACTGAAAATTGTATTTTAATAGAATTTTTTGTTATAATTTAGTACATAATAAATACATAATTGGGCACCATTCACCAGAAAAAAAAAATCGAAAGATGCTCATCCATTAGTTATTAGAAATTAGAAAGATTAATTGGTAAATATTTATTAATTATGCCATTCGATAAAAATTGTGTAATTAGAGAAATCTATTGTTGACGGTGTTAGTCTTAGCTTCATGGCTTCCCCTAGCTGTAGTACTTAGCCTCTACATTGACAACTTCTTTTTTTTCATTTGGAAGAGCATATGAATAAAAAGAAAAAATTTCCACGTTCTCTCTGCCGACGATTTTAAGAAAATTTAACGAACGATTTTAAGAAAATTTAAGAAAAGTATATTTGAAAAGCCAATCCCACATCGAGCACAAGCCTTATATATATATATATATACATATTCGAGATAAAGAGTTTGTATTATTCGACAGTGGATAACTACAACGTAACTAAATTTGGTCTGAAGTCAGTCCGTCACATCAACTATCCTACTTAATTAGTTAACAAAAAAAAAACTATCTTACTTAATTTCAATGTCGGCTGCATGTGTGTATGTATATGTATATTATATGTGTATATATAGGAATATAGTAAATGGGGAAAGTGGGGCCTACGGGATTATGCGCAACGTATCTGAGGCTGTGCCTGAAACGGCATGTCGATTGCTCAATTCACATGCATGCATGCACGCACGCGTCATTGATGACATTAGATCCCACTTCTCTCTCTCTCTCTCTTGTTTTCTTGTGATTGAAAAAGTTTTCTTTTAATCTTTGGAGATATTTATCCGAATTCGTTGAATCATTATAATATGATATATAAATTTTTTTAAAAAAAGAAAAAGAAAAGAGGTGATGAAGACGATTCTAATTTATCATTTTGTGCACGTCGACGGATGCTTTCATGGAACTCCGCAGTGGATGCAGTGAAAATGGACCCCTCGAGATTCTTTCTTTCCTTTCCCTTTATCATGCAATAAAATTTGTATTTTCTTTTCTATTTTTTTGGCAATTAATTATGTGTGAGAATCTATCCCATGTGTATACTACACTATTACTACTACTACTACTACAACAACAAATAATGATGATAATAAATTATTTTTTCTTGTTATTAAAAATGGATATCTAACCATTTGTTTTTTTTTTTATGTTAGATTCAGTTTGATTTGGTTTTTGTTTGTATCTGATTTTTCTTTTTCACACAAATGTTCAAGAAACTTTTGATTTTGGATGATTTCTATACTCGGTTGGAGTTCGAATCTCTCGCTTTTAAAAAAACTGCACCCACTCAATTTTAATTTTTATATATAATTGGGTTCTGATAAAGTTATAAATTATTCAGCCAGATCAACACTACCTCGGATATATACAAATAAATTATGTGGTTGGGTGTTTGATATACACAAACGTTAACAGGAATCTCTATCGTACATCAATTATTCCTAATTCAAGAGATCCGTAAGCAAGCAAGCAAGCTTCCTCAAGAGAACCGACAATACATTACCTTTTTCTCTTCATCTGTTCTGCAACCTTATATCCAGGGATGTTAATACTGGCCAGCCACTCCTTAATAAACTTTTTTTTTTGTATGAACAGCTTTTGAAACTATTGGCATATAAAACAAATAAAAAGATAAGAAAAGGGAAACACATCGATATCACCGAATTAAACATCAGAGATTCACTGATTATAAGTTTAGAACAGTACATAAACCAACACACCCAAGAAAAAAAAAAAAAGAAGATCGTGTCATACAAACGTCCCAAGTCGGCCGGAAAAATACAAAAGACTAAAATCATGAACGCCCCATTTATCCTCGCTTTCATGACCAGTGCTTCAGGACCACCCGACATCTTATCAGAAAACACACACATACATAGACACATATATGTGTGTGTATATATATATATATCGACATACCCAGTTTTAGAAAAAAGACAAATTTATGTGGGCCAAAAAAAGAAACAACATTATTCAATAACAAAAGAGCAGAATCAT